TATGTGTGTGTGTGTATGTATATGCATTTTTAAGGGTGTTTCCTGTATTACTCTATTTCTTGTTTTCAGTGTCATGGCTGGAGAGCAAAGGAAATGTCTATACCGCAGTGAATGCTATGCAGTTCAGAAAGGATGTTTGTTTTTTTTCTTTTAAGAAAAAACTCAGATTAACCTTGACTATGCTTCTAAATGTGTATGTGAGCCTTTTGCTGTTAAAAATAAATGAGCTTGTGAGATGGTGGAGGGTCTCCAGGGAGGTCTACAAGTGTCAGGAATGGCCAGTACTGCTTATATTCTCTTTTGCTAATAACAGTATCGTCGAAATAATAATGAATTCTGTGACATTGAGTTTTCTAAAGCTTGTTTTTCAGACACCTGGGGATGTAGGGTGCTCTATGATGGCTTGGCATTTGACTTGCCTCATTAATTTCCTGCTTCTTAAGGGATCAGATTTTGCTGGCTTAGACTTGGTCACATTAGAATCTGATACAGGGGGACATTAGTGGTGTTGAGTAGCTGTCTGCCCACCGTTCCTCCCACGGAAGTGACCCTCTATCCCAGCAGAGCCCACTCTTTAAATTTTATTTTCCCCCCCTCCCAGCCCTGGCCTTTGCAGACAACTTTGCTGACATTTGTTGGATCTGAATGAGGAATGGCTGCTCTGCCAACAATCACAAGTTCAACCATAACTTGTTACTAAATTATGTTCAGTGCTTGTTGACAGTGTTTTGAATGTTTAATGTTTCAATTGCCGGGCTTCAGAATCTTGTGTCAGTGGCCTTAAAGCTCCCTTTGTTTGCGAGAGCACCAGTTTTGACAATGCTCTCTGAAGAACAGAGATCTCATGTTCTGCTCGCGTTCTCTGTAGCTGCCCCTGTGATAGGCTGTGTCACTAAAAGCTTGGACTGATTCAGTGGATAGTCTCATAGCTGGCAGTTCTGGTCCCAGTGCTATTCCATAGGAATAACCATTGCTGAGTATGAAGAAGCTGGCAGTGATGAGTGGGATCTCGGTGTGAGATCTTCTAGCTATGGTGTGCCGGATAAGTGCAGATGGCAGAATAGTCTTACTCAGTCATCTTTCCCAAGGGTCTCTAAGGAGAGAGCTGCGATCTGGATTAAGTGCTGAGGTAACGTTTGGTTGCTGTCTTCCTCAGGAACTCGGTAGTAGAGAAAGGGGTAACTGGTACTGCTGCATGGGTGCAGGTTGCAAATGTTTGTTCGGGGTCAATTTAAATTTAGGCATTATTAATTTGGACTAAGGGACTATAGTCCACTTTGTATCCTGCAATATAGAGAATGCTGTAAAGCATTAGAACTGTGCAAAATGCTTGTCAAATATGTGGAAAGAAACAAAGCGAGTGGTAGATATTTTTCCTATAAAAAAGAAGGTTTGTTAATCCCTTATAAGGGATAATTGTACTTGGCTGTCTACCAGTAAGCTTCCCCCATATGTAGATGAGTTGTTTGTGAATCATTTGGGTCATCAAGTAATCTCTGTAGGTAAAGAAGGATATAAAATAATTTAGGATTTTGAAATAAGAGTAGCTTTAGGCTTGCTTCTTCAGTTCTACATAAATTCCACAACTGCTCTCTTTTAGGGAGGTTCTAGTCAGTTCATGGGTATAATGTTATTGAAAGTGGCTCACGCTAATCAGAAATCATTAAAAAAATAATAATAGGGTTTTACCAGTCCTAGTGGTAGAATCAAAGTAATTTATCTAAGGAATATAATGTATATGGCTTGGGTTGTATTTGTATGCTTTATAATGTGGCCTCTTGTCTTGAATTCCTTGTTCCTGTCTGACTTCTTACGCTGCTTTAGCATAAGAGGAGGCTTTTCATAGGCTTCCCCCCACCTCTTCCCATGTTAAATAAACATAAAAATTACTTGTGTGTAAGTACTGCAGCTTGATAGTTAACATGGCATTTATGGCTATTAAAGTTATGTTTGGGATTTTCAATCTTCTTGGACCACCGATGTGGCAACATGGTCTCTTTCATCATGCAAGACATCTGACACTTCTGTGTTGTGATCTGACCTTTAGGAGTGGGGCATGTCTTTCTCCTTTAACGGGAGGGTGTAAAAGAAATGAGAATTCATCTTATCCCACGTCATGGATATAATGTGTAAATCGGGGACCTTTATAACCTGAACCTTAAAACTGTAGAGCAGTCTTCTCTGGAGAGAGGGGCACGTAGGATGTCTCTAGTCAGGTTAAACAAAATCTAGTCTATGCTTTGAATATGATTATTATTGCTGCTTAACAGAACTGAAGATACATGTTTGCTGTTGTAAAGGCTTTGAAGAGCCCTAGCAGATCAATGTAGAGTAGGTACTGCTTCAATAACTTGTGCAGTGCCTTTAAATTGCCAACACAGGTACAATGTAGCACTTAAAAACACTTATTGTAAAAATTAATTTCCAGCAGAAGATAGTGTGGCAGTTCAGATATACTAGCTTTTCTGAAAAACGTGTGAATGTTAGTGAAAAACCCTAGCTTTTAAAATAGTCATTAAATAGTTTACAGGTATCTAACTGTGCATTTTTCTTAACAGGAGAGTAAATTGATCAGACTAAGGTAGACAGAACCACTTTTATACTTGCTGTAAACGCAAGGGCCAGTGATTGTCATATAGTATTTGATGGAGCATATTTATGTGAAATGCCAGGTGGATGCCAAGTTTGTTTCTGTGCTGTCACTTAACATGTGATTCTACAGTGTTGCTTAGTGAAACGTAGTTACTCACATACTCAGACCAAGAAGGTGTTTAAAAAAACGAACAAATCCCGAACAACCAAACCTAATACTAGCAACGGCTCTGAAACGATGAATTTTAACTAGATAGAACTGACAGATTTTTTTTTAAGTTGTGTTACCTTAAAATCAGTATTTACTTAAAAAAAAAAAGACATAATACAGTATTTTAATAAGTGTTGTTTGTACGTGTGGATTTGATTTACAACTACATGAAAAATGTTAAATTGTTAATTTCTATTTACCATGGAAATTAAACATTTTTTGAGACGAGAAATTTATTTGCTGATGGTTGAGTTGAATAAACTATCTTGAAACCTCTCTCACTAATCTTAATAAAACTTATTTTCCCT